TTCAACGGATATATGCCTAAACAGAGGTGGAGATGAATTAGTATACATAAATGAACAGCTGTGAGATTCCACAAATAGCTATGTGGCAGGATATAGATTGCACACCGTTCGTAGGGGTATGAAGAAAGTTTCATACACAGACTTGACAGGTATATAATTTAAGTTTATATACACAGACGCGTTAGAGGCTATGAGTTTACAGGTATGCGTTTAGCGCTACACAGGTTGTAAGGTTTAAGGTTACACAACATCATGTGTATACAGATATAATTACAATATACAATGTATATGGCAGATATAAAATTACATTACACACACGTGCACAGACTTGAGCGGTACATGCACATGGTGTATACACGTATCATGTTACACACACGCGATGTGATTGCTGGGATAGGCTTGCGCCTATATACAGGTAGCTACGTGTGCGCACTGTAGTAGCACGCGGTATAACGTGTTCACCACTCGCGTGTGTCCCGCGTATACGCACGTGTATTTGCCCACATCAATTTCCCCTGCCGTGTGACCAGCGTTCGTGGCACGCAGGAGCGGCTCCTGCACGCCGCATCCACCGCTCGCCGCTCTTCCGCATCCCCGCGAAGGGCTTCTGCAAGCCGCAGCGTTAGATTCGTCGTCTGCACGTCGCCGCGCATGAGCAACGGTTGAGGCGCCCGCGTGAGTAAGGGTAGCCGCGAAGTTTTTACACGGCTTCATGTAGGGAGTTTTAGATCCTCGGGGCCCGGAAACAATTGAGTCGTGTTACAGACGGATCGTTTGCGTGTGGCTGTCATGTGGCTGCCACAACTGGGGGCTGCTGACGCTGCTGACGCTGCTGACGGCTCCTAAAACGCGGACGTGCTGATTGCTGACGGCCTGACGCTGCTGACGATGACGGCTTGACGCTGACGGCTGACGCCTGGTGGTGCTGCTGAGCTGACCAGCCTGCGTGAATGCTGACGTGACGCTGCTGACGCTGACGCTACCGACACTGACACTATGCTGACGCGTGCACGACGTACGCGCGTGAAATCCGACATCCATTTCCGTAAGCCTGGAAAGATCATTTGTTATATCACTGAACAATATTGAGGATGACAACATCGCAAGCGAAACTGTTGCTTACATATCGGACTGCAGCTTCTTTTCGACGCGCAAAAAAAGAAAAGGTAGAGACATTGCGGAGCGGAGAAAGGAGATGCTAGACTGTATGAGGAGAGGCTCTGTCCGTGTGAGTAAATTGAGATATAGAACACTGCGCACACATACAGATGTCGATACCCAATCTAATAGAAACTTTTCCGCGCCCTGCTTGCTTGAATTTTAAGTAATGATTTTCATCAGACAAAATGATAAAAAGAAGAAAAGGACATATTTCTGGAACGAAGGATCCTTTGGGACGATATCAGTCGATAGACAGCGGACAATCTGTGAGTCGGATATATTGAGTTATGATGCAGCAAACAAACATTAAAGGTTTCCGTGAGCGCAGACGAAATGTTCGCGACCGCAGATGAAACTCACAAATCTGAATATATGAAATACATAAATTATCGCAATAACTAGGCTATCGGTTCCCAAATGTATTGTGATAGTTGATAACAAGATATATAACATTTAGTTCATTTAGTTTTTCCATTTTAAAAATGATTAAACAACATTGTACATGGATGATACAAATATTAAGTTATAGGGTATATTATGGAGTATGTTATAGAGTATATTATAGTGTATATTATAACGTATATTATATCGTATATTATAGCGTATATTATATCGTATATTATAGTGTATATTATAGAGTACATTTATAGAGTATATTAAAAGAGTACATTATAAAGTCTATTAATTAAAGAGTATATTATAGTGTATATTATACAGTATATTATAGAGTATATTTATTCGCGTTGCGTGACGTATGCAGTCAAATGCTTTACTGAAGTCACAGTTACATCGAACGAGAATTTGTTCCGCGAAACAGTTAACCTAACGTGCCGCTACGAGGCAGCTAAACTGTCGGGAAGCTACGCAGCTAAACTCGCCTTAATCAATTTTATATGTGTAACTTCATCCAAATTCCACGAGTTTAGAAGATTCTCTGGGAAAAAAACGTCAAGGTTTTTTGAGAAAAAATGCTCGTTCGAAAGATCGGAATCACTTCAGCAGCTGGTACAGCTACGTTACGTGGCATACAATGCGCTGTTTCTAAGCTGAACGTACGCAGCCTTACACACGTTATGCATTGATTCGCACGTTGGAGAAAGCTGTGTGAGCTTAGACTAAGATCTTCACGACTACAGACCAGGATCTCCGCGATCACAAACAAAGATCTACAAGACTACAGACAAAGATCTCCACGACTACAGACGAAGATATCCGCTATCACAGACAAAGATCTCCACGATCACAAACAAAGATCTCCGCGATCACAGATCTCCACGACTACAGACAAGGATCTCCACGATCACAAACAAAGATCTCTACAGCAAAAGATCATCATGCAGAAAGTTTCTGAGAGCTGCAGCCCCACCAGCACGCAGACACGCTAGCCGATCCATTCCAGCTAATTAGAACGAAGATTGATTAAGCAGTCTTACCGCGGCTGCCGCTGCGAGTGTTTTTACTCCGCCGCTGTACATCTACCTCGCAGCGGAGAAGAGGCTGAGGAGTGAGGATGCGGAGTGACTGGCGGGAGTTGCCATAGTGGTAGCAGCTTCTTCGTCACGGTCAATAATTGCGATCCGGATAGGATCGACCAGCCTAACAAAGTTAATCAGCGATGATAGTGATGCTGATGATTATAATGACGATGATGATGATGAGAATGACGGCGGTGATGATGATGATTATGGTGATGATGATAATGATGGTGATTATGATGATGATGATGATGATGATGATGATGATGATGATTATGATGATTATGATCAAGAGAAAAGGGAGGAGGAGAAGGGGAAGAGGGAAAGGGGGGAGAACCAGAAAGAGAATAAGAAATAGAACAAAAAGTATGGTTGGCAATTAAAAAGGAGGAAAACGAGAAGGAATAGGAGAGAAGGGTCAAGTTCGTCGCATGCACCTCTGCTCGGTCCATATAAGACAATAGCTCAGTCATCTCTGCGCATCTCTCAGCCCTAGCATAGTTCCACCGTAGCCGCGACTTGAATGTATAGTACTTATAGTATGATACGTATAAATGTACATATCTTAATCTACCTATGTGCCAATTTTCATACTCTCGTCAAAAAGTACACAATTATATCCCCTAGCTTCTGTACAATATGCGCATCAGACATATATAACGCACGCTCGCTTATACACTAAGTAGTTGCTCAGTTACAGAGTGAATCTAGCTGCATAAGCACACGCAGACAAAGTAGTAAAGCAGCCTCCCCAGTAGTAGCTGCAGTATAATCTGGCGTGTTACTATGAGGTTCATGTGTAGCAATCAGCTGATAGATACCAGCGCAGATTATAGCAGTGAATATAGGAGTTTATTTTGCGCGTTTGTTGCTGACGGCGCAACGTCGATAGCATCGCGGGCGCTGAGCGGATGACGTCGCGTGAGCGGACGTCACTCATTGTCGCCGCCGTCATCGTCGTCGTCGTCACCGTCATCATCATTGTCGCCTCCGTCATCATCGTTGCTCATTGTCGTTATCATCATCGTCGTTCGTTGTCGCCGTCGTCATCACCATCGTCGCTCATTGTCGTCATCGTCATCGTCATCGTTCATTGTCGCCGCCGTCATCATCATCGTTGCTCAATGTCGCCGTCGTCATCGTCATCGTTCATTGTCGCCGCCGTCATCATCATCGTTGCTCA